TGTGACAGTCAGACAGTGAATACCTTAGAGCCGTGTGAGCTAACCCGGAGCTAACGGGAGAATAAACTCCCGTGGAAGAGCAGCCAGCACTGCAGGGGTCGGTAAATGCCGCTGAAACACATTAATAAACAATGAACCACGGCACTCTGGAGAAAAGTATAAGGTTGGAGAAGTCGTTATTTAATTTAATCTGGCTTCGTATGATTAAAAGCAACACGATCATCGACCCGACGCAGTCCCCGGCCCGTTGTTGTTGTGGGAGAAAATCAGCGACGTAAACGGTGACGTCATGACGCAGCAGCGGCAGCTCTGGGCGGTGTGAACAGAGCGGGAGCTGAAAAGGGAAACCGGAGCTGAACCAGAAAAGCTCTCGCTAGGAGCTAGAAAGGGAAAAGCGCTGGTGTGAAAGCCGCATCAGAGTAACCTACAGTTAACTTAACTGTTGGAAAAGAAAGATCAGGGGGGGGAGAGAGAGCTGTGGGTGATGGGCCATTAGGTGTGTAAACACACCGCTGAGAGCTGCTGTTTCATTCTGACTGTTTAAAAAACGGTAACAACGGACTATTTTTCTTGGCGGATGCATGTCAATTTAAATCAATACATACAACTATTTTTTAAATCAATAAAAACATTTTCTAAATCCATAAAAGCATTTCAATTAATATTGGGAGTCATGTCGTTACTTTGTTGAGAATGTGGCCATGTAATAAGCGGGATAATTTGCAGCGACTTGGTCATTATGGGGAAAAATAACACCCAGGGATCAAGATCCCTCCGATCTTGATCTGCCTGACAAGGCTCCATTAAAATATAAATATTTTTAGTGAATTACTGAGTTTAGGCACGTTAATAACATTTTAATGAAGTTGAATACAGTATATTCATATTTGTCAGTGATTTCATGTCAATTCGGCGAACATAAACATAAATGATCGTGGTGAAGATGATGATTAAATTAGGATTAAAAATCGAGAGCCGGCTGCATTTCCTCTTGTTCGTTTTTTTCGACTAAACAACATTATTTTGTTAAATAACAACATGGTGATGTTTTGTAAATGATTACATGTCTTATTTAGCACAGACTATGATCCTATCCGTGACATATGGATCTTAACAAAGATCTGCTATACATTAGTACCAGACATACTGTACATTGTGGTGATTGACATTATTCACCCACGGATCTATGGGTTGGGGTATTGTTCCGCACGGACATTTTAGTGAACCAGACCAGCTGTTTCCGCCGGTCTTCGCTTCCCGGGCATGAAGTTGTTTACATGTGTGTTCAGATGCTAAATAAAAGTTTAGCTTGTACTTTTGATACCCCACCTCCGACTCCCGTCTCTCGGCACCACAACATCCAGTTTACTGTATCGAAGTTGATTTCACATGAGCGATGTCGAACATTGAAAAGTCCTTATAAAATTACATAAAACATTTTCCATAAAAAAGTTGATTCAAGAACAAATCTCTGTTATTAGATCAGTACTTTTCTTATATGACTATTATTGCTAAATTTGAAAGGTCTTTACCAGCTTTGGAATTATATATATATATATATATATATATATATATATATATATATATATATATATATATATATATAGCACCTTCTGCCATCCCATCTCTACTGACAATCATTAACACTTAGATTTTATGATATCGTAAGCATCGTCAGTGATTGACTTGAACACTGAGAATGTATTTATTAACTTCAGACATTTGAAATATTTAAAATCAGATGAAAACAAACTGTAACGGACCCTGCCGTGTTATCTATGATTACTATGCCTTACTGTACATTCATAATTTCAGCCGGAGGGAGGTGGGCGGCGCTGCGGAGGAGCAGATTGCGAGTGAGGTGCCTGTTCTAAACGAACTATTACAGCTGTTATAAAGCATTAAATAAAAAGTCATGAAAGAGATAAGGAGGAGAAAAGGTTTAAGGAAGTAAGCAAGGAATACAGAATGTCGAAATCCTCTGTTTCACGCGATGTCGAACATTGAAGACAGAGGACGGCGGTCCCCCAATCTACACAGCGGGAGAAAGAATATCATAAAGCAGATCGGAGGAGACATCACGATCTTCCCACATTAGTGCAATTCACCTATACTTAACCCCAAATAAAAGAACCCAATAAAAACAGTTGTTAAATAATAGTGAAGTCACGTTGTAATAATAACATCTCTCGGTTTGAGTGTTCTTTTTCTGCTTTGCCTAAAGCCACTGTGTCAAGTGTCTAGTGACTATTTCTCTTAGCGGATGCATGTCAATTTAAATCAATACATACAACTATTTTTTAAATCAATAAAAACATTTTCTAAATCCATAAAAGCATTTCAATTAATATTGGGAGTCATGTCGTTACTTTGTTGAGAATGTGGCCATGTAATAAACGGGATAATTTGCAGCGACTTGGTCATTGTGGGGAAAAATAACACCCATCCTGATCGTTTCAATGAAGTTGAATACAGAATATTCATATTTGTCAGTGATTTCATGTCAATTCGGCGAACATAAACATAAATGATCGTGGTGAAGATGATGATTAAATTAGGATTAAAAATCGAGAGCCGGCTGCATTTCCTCTCGTTCGTTTTTTTTCGACTAAACAACATTATTTTGTTAAATAACAACATGGTGATGTTTTGTAAATGATTACATGTCTTATTTAGCACAGACTATGATCCTATCCGTGACATATGGATCTTAACAAAGATCCGCTATACAGTAGTACCAGACATACTGTACATCCAGCTTACTGTGTCGAAGTTGATTTCACATGACTCCAGTGTGGAACCCCACTGCACCCCCTGGTGGATCAATGATCCATTGCAGCTGGCTTCACAATAATTAAATGTATTTATCACGGGGGCGGTATCAAGTCAGACTGGGGGCCGGCTCTTCATCATGGGCCGATCACGGGCCGATCACGGACCAATCACAGACCAATCACGACCCTCGCGTTTCAAACTGTCCAAAATAAGACGCTCCATCTGTAGTTGTAGCAATACTAGTAGCAGACTATTACTTGTCAATCCAACCTCCTCAACCGGGATTTTTCGGAAAATATCATAACAAAAAACGTTGGGCGCAAAAAAATCACAGTTGAGGAGGTTGAATTGACCAGCAGTAATAGTAGTCTGCTACTTATTAATGATATTTTCTATATATCAACCATTTAAAAAACAACCATGTTTTATAGACTGCTTACACTAAAATGCTAACTCAAAATAAAACTTTTGTATTGATTTGTTTAGTGAACTTTTTGGCGTTGCAGTTACAACTCTCCGCCAACAGATGGGGGTGCTGCAGCCCCCTCAGCACCCCCCCTTCCCGCGTCCCTGTGCTATGCTGACGACACCCAGGTCTATATCAAAACACAACCCAATACCACCAATACTATCCAAACACTAAACACCTGCCTGGAAGACATTCGCTCCTGGATGACCACCAACTACCTCCAGCTCAACAGCAGCAAGATGGAGGCAATCCTGATAGGCATCACCGACCAGCTTGCCAAGGCCGCCAACATCAGCCCCTCCCTTGATGGTCATCTCATTTCTCTCTCCTCCGTTGTCACCAACCTCGGTGTAAGTACAATCAAGTATTTTTACTCTGTACTTTTTGAGTAATACTTGGTTAAACTCCTGTCCTGAGTAAAATAATTCATAGTTCATATACAATACAGGAATTATTGTACTCATGACGGGAGTTTGACCGAGTATTAATCAAAAAGTTAGTGTTAGTCCAAGTAGTACTTAGTACTGACTGAGTCCAACAGTATCAATTTCATGTAGAATTTTTTGCAAAAAATCATTTTATCCCTCATCAAATATAGCAGAATACATGAATTACCAGTACCAATTCTATTAAGAACTTATGGCTAAAAATCATTTGATCTCTCATCAAATATAGCAGAAGTGGCATGATTTTGTTCTCAGGAGGGGACTTTGAGAGAGTTTCACCCAAAAAGTACACGTTAAAAGTAGTTCATTTTATTGTTGGTAGCAGTCAAACTAGGACTGAGTCAAACAGTGTCAGTTTTATTAAGAACTTATGGTACAAATTATTTGTATCGCAAATAAAGCAGAAAAAACATGCATTATTTTACTCTTGTAACCGCAGTACCGGAACGGACGACAGTATCTTAATATCTTCTGAAAACAAATGCCAGTGTCACACACCCACACATCCACACACACACACACACACACACACACACACACACACCACACACACACACACACACACACACACACACACACACACACACACACACACACACACACACACACACACACACACACACACACACACACACACACACACCACACACACCCACACACACCACACACACACACACACACACACACACACACACACACACACACACACACACACACACACACACACACACACACACACACACACACACACACACACACACACCACACACACACACACACACACACACACACACACACACCACACACACACACACACCCACACACACACACACACACACACACACACACCACCAGACATCTCCTTCATAAATAGAGTGTGTGTGTAAAAGGCACAGCTCCACTTCCTACTTGGCGAACCTGTAACTTTCTTGTGTGCACGAGAACGTATCTCTTGTGCAAGAGAAAGTATATTGTGATGAGCAAAACCATGTCACTTGGCCCAGGTGGTTTCCACAGAACGGACAAAATATGTTTAACGACCATAAACACACTCGTACCGTCCATAGGTACCGGCGGTCGATCCACCAAAACAAACATAGGCCCAATCCCAAACCACACCCTACACCCTACCCCTATACACTACCCCTCCGTTTGCGCGGAGGGTCCGCCACATTAAGTGCTGTTCCAAACCAACGAGTGTGGAGCGGTGTGGAGGGGGAGTGGGTTATCAAGCCGTCAAACAGCGAGTCTGCATCGGTGCTGACTGGGGACCGGTCACCATAGATATGTATAAAGGCTAGATGACTCACCCGCGCTGCTGGCCAATGGAGACCGACGTTGCCACATGGCGGCCATCTTGCAACAGGCAGCTCGCTCATTCATAACATTGGGTGTTTCTCAATGTCGAGTACGCTTGCTTGGTAGCACATGTCTTCCGAGCGTCTTGCTTCAGAAGCTAGGCAAGAATACTTCCTGGCATTCGGAAAACAAAGAGTGGAACAGGCTAGCAAGTGTGCAGGTGTGCGTCATATGAGAGGCCCCGCCTCTTACATCTTCTGCCACAGATTTGGGGAAATTGGTCCGTGCGCAAAGCATTCTGGGGATTTTAAGACTGCGGAGTCTACACATGTGCAGCCTCGAAATTTCTCCAAACGAAGTACGCCGGGCTCGGTAGATTTCCAAGTATGCTGGAGATTGGAACAGTCCTTCGGCGGCACTCGATGACGTAGTATGCTTGAAATAGTGGCTCTGGAGCAGCTTTACTCGACATTGAGGAACACCCAGTATGTCTATGGTGCACTATTGAAACAACCATAGCTTGCTCAATTTCCAACCAATTTTCAAACAGTTTGGTTTGTTATAAACATCAAAGATGTAGTTATGATACTGCATACTTATAATTATAATCATGGACTTTCATATAAAAATAACATTAAGCAGATAGCTATACACAAACACAAGGTATTTATATAAAATATTTAACGGTATATATATATATATATATATTTACATTTATTTTATTATATTGTTAATATTTAAAATATATTTATATTTTATACAAATCGGTCTCATGTTGCCACTCTGTAAGCCAAGAGTTGTTAATTTAGCAATGCCTTAGCTTGAAGAACAGGGACACAACTAATGACAATAGCAAATGGTGGTATATTATTTAGATATTCACACCTTTATCAGAAGAACCAAACCAACATAAAATGATCTCACAGACAGTAGGTCCTGGCCAGTTCTGTCTCATTTATCACAATTATTTTGACATGAAATCTTCATATCGCCCAGTTTTGTATTTACGTTACCACTTCACAGTACGGTGCGCTGAGTTCTTGTAGTCGAAAAAAGCCCAAGAAGAACAACTTGGTGTGGTGTGGAGGGGATGTAGGAAGCAGGGGCAGTTGGGGAGAGATGGGGCTTCAAGGTTCAAGGTTATTTTATTTTGTTTTAAATGCCAATGATACACATACCCTTTGAAGATGAGCTGGGAAGTTGAATATTGTTGGCATAACACCATCTTTAAGCCGGACAGTCTGCTCCGTCCTGTCAAAGTCCTCACTCCTGAAGTGCTCACTGCAGAGCAGTGTCCTGCCAGAGGAGACAATACCGTCCCTTCTTATGGCAACTTCCCACTGCCTCCTCCTCTCTCCGGTTTTGGGAAACCTTAAAAACATGAGAAAGGTAGCCAGATATATCAATTATTGTCAACATTTTCCACCCTTCTTTCCTTTAACATTAAGGGTAAGAACAAAAATACACACCGAAATTATCATATTTTTGGGGTAATTTTATGTATGTATGTATGAAATGTATGTATACTTTAAGAATAAGACAACCACACTAAGAGTTATAAAAAAGGTGTCCAAAAGAAACATTAAATAATTGTGTAAACAAATGGTAACAACATATTCTAAAAAGCCTGGGTCAACAACAATCTTGCAATACTATTATCTCACATAGCCCCGCTGTTTCTGTGTAGCAGGACTTGTATTGTACATACATCCACTAAGTAATTAACGATTATCCTAATTATAGTCATAATATTGTCATATCTCACAGGTGAAAGGTGATCCCACGGGTTCTTGTTTCGAGACTACGGCGATTAGAGCATCCGTAGGCTGCACAAAAGTCAGGCATCTTCACTGATAGGCGTACTTCTGTAAACACAAAGGCATATATATATATGTATATATGTATATGTATATGTATATGTGTGTGTGTGTGTGTGTGTGTGTGTGTGTGTGTGTGTGTGTGTGTGTGTGTGTGTGTGTGTGTGTGTGTGTGTGTGTGTGTGTGTGTGTGTGTGTAGCCTGTTATTGTCTCATTATACCGCACTGTCAATGAATTAAAGTAAATCTATAAGTGGTCATGAACACATCTGTCCATCAGACTGAGGGCTGCTGTGCCTCCTGTCATCATTAATGGACGTCTCTTTAAAATGACCGCTCAGAGGAGAGGAGTTCTCATTTCTCTAACCGCCTGCTGCTTCCCCTCCTCTCTCCTCGGCTCCCCTCCTCGGCTCCTCCGCTCGCATCTCCTGTGGGTGGGACTTAAGTCTCGAGGAGGGGAGTCGAGGAGGGGAATTTGAAGACATGAGAACGGCCCCAAGTGTCTGTGTCATGTTCCTAACAAAGAGGAAGTAAAGGAAAATGAGAGAGAGGGAGACAGCAGATAATCAAACACATACGCAGAAGAAAATATGAAAGCTAATACCAGGAAACCCCCACAGCAAACCTCAGTTAAAGAGAGGAACTTCCTGTCTGAAGTTGAGAGCAAATACTGGTTGTTGAAACGCAGTAAATATCCTCAGCTGTGCTGCCGTACAAAGACAAACTGAGAAACTCTGACAGAAAGCATGTGAGGCCTGTTAGCTTTAGCATGAGTTCATCTGGAGTCACTGTTCTCTTGATATAGTTGAAACTAAATGTTGAGCAGATATTCAGTTGGTGGTCTCGTCCAGGGGCGGACTGGGACTAAAATTCAGCCCTGGAAACTGACCCAGTCCGGCCACATGAAATGTCAAATGTTAGAAATCCGCTGTTTATTATTTAAAGTTTGACGTCCGATTCGCTCTTTTTTTCCTCTCTCTACACAGCTCCAGTTTGGGCATTGGCCTGTCATCAGATTTAATTTTTAGTTGCTGCTGTAGCGGAAGTTTAGTAAAATTATTTTTGATGAAACCCTCCATAATTGCACTTGCTTCAGTTGCTTGCTACTTTATAAGGGCGGTGATGACAGTTACAGTACGAACTGAAGTTGAGGCAAGGGAAGCCAGCCGCCTCTGGATTGGCCTTAGCATGGCCCTGACCAATCACAGCTTGGCAGGGGCATGACGTGAGCCTCATCTGATTGGTCAATCCCTACATTTTTTCAAGGTAAGCCAATTTCGGCTAGCCTCCTCTCGCAACAGAGTGCAATCTACTGTTTCACCATAACATTTAGAGGGGTGCTGTTTCACTCTTTTTAAAATACTCAATGAGAATGGGGGAGAGATGGGCCGGCAGCAACACACAGCACAGAATAATTACCGAAACTAAACGAAGTGTTTTTATTCATGTATTAAAATTATAATTACAATCCAAAAAAACAGGGGAAGCCTGGCTTCCCTTGGCCTCCAGGAGAAAACGCCACTGAGTTCAAGAGATAATTCTCACCCACCTCTTGCTCTTGCCCTGCACTTGTATGTGCCAGTTGAGCTGGTTCTTCCACCAGCTCAACTCTCTGTCCCTCATCATGAACACAGGAGGCTGCTGTATATCTGAACTCGCCCTCATCATTCTCTTCATCATCTTGCACTTGTTCTAAGCTGCTGATAGTGCTTGTAGCAGCGCTGCTGCCAAAAAGGTCTGTCAATTTGCATCATTTATATGCTTCACCTGCGAGTGACTTCACCTTTTTTTCTCTTGCCTTCTCAGCCCCACCTTTTTCTTTTCGTTTTCTTAGATTTGTATCCATGTTTTTTCATTCTCCCTGTCTGCCGCGGCGTCTAATCCCTTCTCTTCGTGTGGCCGGTCTTTTTTCTTCTTCGTGTGTGATTATTTGACAGATAAGAATCACACAACTGCATTAGCGGCCGCTGTCGCCCTCTGTCGGCCGTCAGCGCAACTTAAATGATGACGTTAAACAATTTTATTTTAAAGGGCCGGCCGGCCGTCAACGGCCCTTGACGACCGGCCGTTCTGTGGTTCTCCAGATTCTACAGATGGCCAGTCCGCCCCTGGTCTCGTCTCTGTACTCACCGGGGTTTGGCAGAGATCCTGCTGTGGTGTTCAGGATTAGTTTAATGTTCCTTTAGGGAGAAATAGAGAGCCTTGTCTCGACGGCAGCTCTGCTCTCGATCAGAAATACTTTCACTTTCATTCAGGAAGTGCCACATTGCAGCTTTCCTCTCACTGTGGCTCTCTGGGGAGAAATCTAAAATCAGTAAAACATACTCTTTATTCAAAGTCCTCTGTGGGCAGGGCTGGAAAAAGTTTTCAGATTGTTTACTTGAGTAAAAGTACTAATACCACACTGTAAAAATACTCCATTTCAAGTTAAAGTACTGCATCAAGAATGGTACTGAAGATAAAGTTTGTCAGTACAATTAGGAAAATGTACTTAGCAGTAAAAGTAGGCTACTCATTGCAGAATAAACTCCAAAAATATAGGGTTTATTTTATTTTAATATTGCCATATTTAATTATGCATGTATTAATTAATTGTCCATGTATTTATATATTCCTGTATTTATTTGCACGATTATTTATTATTTTATAATTGTATTCCTGTTTTTATTCATACATTAATTTATGCATTTCTTTATTTATACTTATGTTCCTATTCATCATATTTCACATAATTAATCCGTACAGCAGGGGTGGGGAACCTCCGGTCCCCGGGCCGTATACGCCCGCGAGATCATTTGGTACGGCTCTCGAGGTAATTTATAAACACACGCAAAAAAGAAAAAAATGAAAGAAATCTAGACCGCAAAATAATTAAACATGCGAGTGCCTGTTTTTCCTGGCCAAGTTCAGGGTCCTTGAACACAACACGAGCCTAACACGTGGTGTATGTCTCGTCTGATAGGGGTGCAGTTCTGACGGAGAGCACCAGAACGCGGCTCCAACACTTCACAAATGTCAGTACCCATAAGGAGCCGTACACAGTTTGTGCGTGGCTGTGTCTTTAGTTGAAAGCCCAGTGGCGATCTGTTCATCTGTCATACCAACACACTCTCACTCCCTAAGCGTCCAGGAGCGACGCTTGGTCAGGGTCCCGTGGCGTCCAGTTGTGACGCGCCGAGGCTCCTTCAGCTTCATAAACGGACGCAAAGAGCTTTCAACTGATTGCAATGTATTCCCATCTGCAGCGATATTTGACGCTCAGGGAAGCACGGCATTCGTTTGTGTCGGAGGCTGTTAAAGGCAATGTGAGC